GTGTGAATACTGTCTCCAGATCATCAGTGCTTCCGACCACAGCTGTGTGAATATTGTCTCCAGATCATCAGTGCTTCCGACGACAGCTGTGTGAATATTGTCTCCAGATCATAAGTGCTTCCGACCACAGCTGTGTGAATATTGTCTCCAGATCATCAGTGCTTCCAACCACAGCTGTGTGAATATTGTCTCCAGATCATCAGTGCTTCCGACCACAGCTGTGTGAATATTGTCTCCAGATCATTAGTGCTTCCGACCACAGCTGTGTGAATATTGTCTCCAGATCACCAGTGCTTCCAAACACAGCTGTGTGAATATTGACTCCAGATCATCAGTCCTTCCGACCACAGCTGTGTGAATATTGTCTCCAGATCATCAGTGCTTCCAACCACAGCTGTGTGAATATTGTCTCCAGATCATCAGTGCTTCTGACCACAGCTGTGTGAATATTGTCTCCAGATCATCAGTGCTTCCAACCACAGCTGTGTGAATATTGTCTCCAGATCATCAGTGCTTCTGACCACAGCTGTGTGAATATTGTCTCCAGATCCTCAGTGCTTCCGACCACAGCTGTGTGAATATTGTCTCCAGATCATCAGTGCTTCCGACCACAGCTGTGTGAATATTGTCTCCAGATCATCAGTGCTTCCGACCACAGCTGTGTGAATATTGTCTCCAGATCCTCAGTGCTTCCGACCACAGCTGTGTGAATATTGTCTCCAGATCATCAGTGCTTCCGACCACAGCTGTGTGAATATTGTCTCCAGATCATCAGTGCTTCCGACCACAGCTGTGTGAATATTGTCTCCAGATCATCAGTGCTTCCGACCACAGCTGTGTGAATATTGTCTCCAGATCATCAGTGCTTCCGACCACAGCAGTGTGAAGATTGTCTCCAGATCATCAGTGCTTCCGACCACAGCTGTATGAATATTGTCTCTAGATCATCAGTGCTTCCGACCACAGCTGTATGAATATTGTCTCCAGGTCATCTGTGGTGAACCCCGTGTGGGCTCTTGGGCCCCATTTAGGAAAGACACAAGTGCACACACACACAAGAACAGACCCAAAGCTCCTTAAAAAGCACTTTAACTTTATGTTGTATGAGGCTCTCATGCAGAAGACCTGGTTTGGATCCCTCAATAAGGTGCTGACATTTTTCTGACGGGGGAAAACTGAAACATCCAAACCTGCTGCAGGGTCTGTGGTGACAACCCTAGCCAAGTGGCTCTAAGTCCTCAGGTTCGCAACCCACACTCCCTACCTTTCTGATGTCTACACCGCCCTTAAAAGTGGCAAATACAGATGGCAGTGACAATGACAGTTGTAAAAGGCAACTAATCTGGAGTCTGCTGAAACTGGATCTTCTGAAAGGTTCAGATACAGCAGCCTAGCTGTAAACCACAAAACAATGTGCCAACTGCTCTTTTAAAAGCAAACACAAGCTCAGATCACTAACAAAAAACATCTTTGCCTCATAAAATCTCTGAACATATGACCACCGGCTTGGCAGACAACCAGGTCAGTCACTGTACTGCCTCAGCTGCCATATATGTGTATATATACATATAAATATGTGAGTGCTATTACCTACCACATATCAAACCGACTACATACATTCTCATTCTACACAGCTCAAGTGGTAAATTCATTTCTAGTCAAGACAAAGTCCCACTGAATGGAGAACACAATGTTTATGTGTCTGCTAGTTAAAAACTATATTCATCTCAGTGTTGGGATCAAGGGAGAATTGGCTAAACCACACAAAAACTGAAACACATCCGTCTGTTTGTGCACTGCCACATTGAATGCCCTAGGCATCTATGTGGGCAATGTCATATAAAACTACATTGGACAGGGAAGTCCACTTCAACAAAAGTCTAACATGCTTTAACTCTTTGAGTCCCAGGGGGTTTAGCATCACAGGCCCAGGGGGTAGTAAAGAGAGTCATAAAATTGGCGCATCATGCGTTCATTGGGCTTCTAGGTAGGAACCTATGAATGTATGATGCGTTCCTTGGGACTCAAAGAATTAAGAAACATAGCTCTCATTCTGTGTAGGTAATCAAAATCCCAGATCTGCATGCTGCCTTCTCCAGGCTTCTAAAAGCACAGCCCATGACGAGTGAAAGGTTCAATACACGGAAGTGAGGTTAAACAGTCTTAAGGAGGATGTGACGACTACATGGCTGAATCCAGGACCAGAATTCCATGTATTGGTTGTGCATTATGGAAGCTTCCTTGGATGGTGGGCAATGCTCATGTTCTGCCCCTGCCTTCTCAGCATTATCTGGCTGCTCTGGACAGGCCAAATGGATGGCACTGCCTGTGGATTAGGACACAGACACTGCAATGTCCCACAAATCTAGCCCGGGAAGGTTAGCCTGGGCAATAGACGACTGCAGAAGTTGGACACGTAGACTTAAAGGTGTCAACATCACAGCCATGATGTAAACAGGCTGAACTCATATACATCCTCGGAAGAGTGAATAAAAAGAAGAATATGATATACATTTACTTATGCTGACCACATTACCCACCGAGTGCTGATGGTCTGTAAAAATATGGGCGCTCTTCCCATATACCCGATACGCCTAAAGGCGTGAAAGGGATCTTTACTTTTTACTTTACTTATAGCTGCTAAATTTGTCAACAGTTGCTAGAATTATTAATAACTGCATCATTTATCAATAGTTACTTATAGCTGCTAAATTTGTCAACAGTTGCTAGAATTATTAATAACTGCATCATTTATCAATAGTTACTTATAGCTGCTAAATTTGTCAACAGTTGCTAGAATTATTAATAACTGCATCATTTATCAATAGTTACTTATAGCTGCTAAATTTGTCAACAGTTGCTAGAATTATTAATAACTGCATCATTTATCAATAGTTACTTATAGCTGCTAAATTTGTCAACAGTTGCTAGAATTATTAATAACTGCATCATTTATCAATAGTTACTTATAGCTGCTAAATTTGTCAACAGTTGCTAGAATTATTAATAACTGCATCATTTATCAATAGTTACTTATAGCTGCTAAATTTGTCAACAGTTGCTAGAATTATTAATAACTGCATCATTTATCAATAGTTACTTATAGCTGCTAAATTTGTCAACAGTTGCTAGAATTATTAATAACTGCATCATTTATCAATAGTTACTTATAGCTGCTAAATTTGTCAACAGTTGCTAGAATTATTAATAACTGCATCATTTATCAATAGTTACTTATAGCTGCTAAATTTGTCAACAGTTGCTAGAATTATTAATAACTGCATCATATATCAATAGTTACTTATAGCTGCTAAATTTGTCAACAGTTGCTAGAATTATTAATAACTGCATCATATATCAATAGTTACTTATAGCTGCTAAATTTGTCAACAGTTGCTAGAATTATTAATAACTGCATCATATATCAATAGTTGCTACATTTACTACAGCTGCTACATTTGTCAATAGTTGCTACATTTACTACAGCTGCTACATTTGTCAATAGTTGCTATATTTATCAATAAATTCTATTCCCTTGTACAGCCCATTAAGAAGGGAATACTGGACTAATAAGTCAACACTGCACACAAAGTTGTATGGAACTAAAAGGGAACTCCTAAAAATAGTCAAGTTTATCAAAAGAAGTTATCTGTCAGTGTAAATAAGAAAGTGAACACAAAAAGAAGAAGAAGAGAAAGAAGAAGAAGAAGATGAAGAAAAAGAAAAAAATGCTGCATTTATCAATACAATTGAGTCTGGATAAGTAGAAGTCACAGGGACCTAAGAAAATTGCTTCCACTTATCAGGATTTCTACTTATCCAGACAACACACACAATAGAGAAAATTGCCGGGACTAAGCTGGTCATGACCGAAATTCAACTTATCTGAGTTCGACTTTAGTGGCCTCGACTGTAGTTGCTTTTTCACTGATAACTGCTACATTTATTAATAGCTAATACATGTATCAGCAACTGCTACATTGATTAATAGCGTCTGCTGTTATCTATAGCTGCTACATTTATTGATAATTGCACATTATCAATAGCTGCAACATTTACTGCTAGCTTTTACATTTATCAATAGGAACAACAATTATCGATAGCTGCTTCAGTTATCAACAGCAGCTACATTTATCAAAAACTGAGTCACACGTCACCCATCTCGTCTCTTCACCTGTCTCTCAACCAATCCAGAGCCAGAGTCTGAAGTCACCTGTCTCTCAACCAATCTAGAGCCTGAGTCACAAGCCTCACCTGTCTCTCAACCAATCCAGAGCCTGAGTCACAAGTCACTCATCTCATCTCTCAAGCAATCCAGAGCCTTAGTCACAAGTCACTCATCTCATCTCTCAAACAATCCAGAGTCTTAGTCACAAGTCACTCATCTCATCCCTCAAACAATCCAGAGCCCTAGTCACAAGTCACTCCTCTCATCTCTCAACCAATTCTATGCCTGAGTAACATGTCTCACTTGTCTCTCAACCAATCCAGAGCCTGAGTCACAAGTCACTTGTCTCTCTTCTGATACCATGTACGAGTCGCAAGTCACCCACCTATCAAATTATCTCATGCATGAGTCCACAAGTCATCTCTTTCTCAACCAATACCCTGCCTAAGCCACAAGTCATCTCTTTCTCAACCAATACCATGCATGTCACTATGTCACACATTTCTCAACTAATCTCACACAGGAGTCATAAACGATCAGACAGGAGTCAAAAAGGATCACACAGAGGTCATAAATGATCACACAGAGGTCATAAATGATCACACAGAGGTCATAAGTGACCCATCCCTTAATCAATCCCACAGCCACGATTGCCTGTCTGTACGCTGATCTGCTTGGATTGAAACTGTCACAGAAAGGTATATCCTTCACGGCAGACTTTAGCAGTCCAACAACTAACTCCAATGACTAGCTTCAACCTGGATTCTATACAATCTTGCAGCACCTGAGTTCAGCTCCAGTGTCAAAGCACCTCTAGGTTTATGATGTTCTTTCAAGAAGCCTGTAAAGTTGCCTGTCTTACACAGGCTTCTAGAAGCTCATCTACTTGATCTCCACATTCTTCAGGATCAATATCAAAGTCCTGTCAATGACAAAAAGCCAAACTTTTCAGAATCAGAGCTCATGCATCAAACTGAGAACATTTATTTCCATGGATCGGTTTTAAATGTTCTGGTTATAGGAAGTCACCGACTCATAACTGGCATGATCAGAGGGAGTCATAGATCCCAAACATACGTGATCAGAAAAAGTCACAGATCCCAAACATACATGTTCTGAGAAAAGTCACAGATTCCAAACATACATGTTCAGAGAAAAGTCACAGATTCCAAACATACATGTTCAGAGAAAAGTCACAGATTCTAAACATACATGTTCAGAGAAAAGTCACAGATCCCAAACATACATGTTCAGAGAAAAGTCACAGATCCCAAACATACATGTTCAGAGAAAAGTCACAGATCCCAAACATACATGTTCAGAGAAAAGTCACAGATTCCAAACATACATGTTCAGAGAAAAGTCATAGATTCCAAACATACATGTTCAGAGAAAAGTCATAGATTCCAAACATATATGTTCAGAAGAAGTAACACACCCCAAACGTACATGTTCTGAAAAAGTCACAGATCCCAAAAATTCATGATCAGAGGGAGTCATTGATCATAAAATTAAATGTTCAGAGAGAATCACAAGTTCAAATATACGTGTTTAGTGAGAATCACATCTTCTAAATATACGTGTTTAGTGAGAATCACATCTTCCAAATATACGTGTTTAGAGGGAATCACAGCTTCCAAATATATGTGTTCAGAGGGAATCACAGGTCCAGAATAGATATGTTTATAAGGAGTCTCAGAAGCTCAAAAACAAGTGACCAGAATGAGTCAAAAATCATTCTTATTCATCCTAGCCTTTACCAGCTGTAAACTCTAGTGGAAATTTCTGGTTGTTCATCCACTTCTGGGCTTTAGTCTTGCTCCAGAAGTTAAATTCAGCATGGACATCTGTTTTACAGATTGTCTTACTTGTATGCAGACTGTTGGTTCTTCGTCTCTCAGGCCGGTGAACTCCGACTTCGGAAGAAGTCAAAGATCCAAAACACATGCTCAGAAGCAGCCACAGATCCATCAGGCCTGTTAACAGCCTTCTGTCTCATGTGTTGACAATATTTCTGATCAGAACGTTTCTCCATGGCCAGATGCCAAACTTCTGTCTCCTGTGTTGACAATATTTCTGATCAGAACGTTTCTCCATGGCCAGATGCCAAACTTTCTTTTAGCTTCTCTGTGGGTGTCCTCTGCCACTCTCCCCTTCCAAATTTCCTGATGTCATGATGTACTCTGACTGAGCAACAACACAGTCAGACAGACTGTGGATTCTTGTTGTCATGATGTACTCTGACTGAGCAACAACACAGTTAGACAGACTGTGAATTCTTGTTGTCATGATGTACTCTGACTGAGCAACAACACAGTTAGACAGACTATGAATTCTTGTTGTCATGGTGTACTCTGACTGGGCAACAACACAGTTAGACAGACTATGAATTCTTGTTGTCATGGTGTACTCTGACTGAGCAACAACACAGTCAGACAGACTATGAATTCTTGTTGTCACGATGTACTCTGACTGAGCAACAACACAGTCAGACAGACTGTGAATTCTTGTTTTCATGGTGTACCCTGACTGAGCAACAACACAGTCAGGCAGACTATGAATTCCTGTTGTCACGATGTACTCTGACTGAGCAACAACACAGTCAGACAGACTGTGAATTTCTGTTGTCACGATGTACTCTGACTGAGCAACAACACAGTCAGACAGACTGTGAATTTCTGTTGTCATGATGTACTCTGACTGAGCAACAACCCAGTCAGACAGACTGTGAATTTCTGTTGTCACGATGTACTCTGTCTGAGCAACAACACAGTCAGACAGACTGTGAATTCCTGTTGTCACAATGTACTCCGACTGAGCAACAACACAGTCAGACAGACTGTGAAAGCACATACTTGTGAGAAACAGAATATCAAACTGTAAACATAGTCTGACATTCTGGATAAAATCAGTGACAAGCAGAGAGTTACATCCCAGAAGAGATGATTAAAAAAAGTGAGTAAGAAAAAGAAAGGATAGTTAAGACACAAAAATGGTTGTGGTGATTATTTGATGATGACATCATGGAAGAAATTTCATTTCAGAGAAAAACTTGATTAAAAACTTGATATTGTATGTACCTCAGCTTCTTCTTCTTCTTCTTCTTCTTCTTCTTCTTCTTCTTCTTCTTCTTCTTCTTCCTCTTCGCATTCATCAGCTGTAAACTCTGGCATAAAGTTCTGGTTGTTTATCCACTTCTGGACTGCAGTCCTGTTCCAGAACCTGAGTTATGCGTGCACAACCATTTTGCTCATCTGACTCATTTCTAAGTAGACTGTTGGTTCCTTGCCTGTCAAGCAGATGCACTCTGACTTCGAAGGACCATCCCTCAGCTTTATGTTTGTATATTCTCTTCTCACAAGCTGGATGAGAGTTCTAATACATGTTTACACAGACAAAGCAATAGCAGTAGAGAGAGCAGGATGCTCATTACTCTCAGAAGTCAGTAAAAAACTTTGATCACACTACTGGCACATTGGGCATAATTTGTATATACCAATTAGCACTCAACAAGTGAGTCTGTCAACATGACATCTGCTGCCTTTATTTTCCCATAAGATTTCCTGGTACTCACTGTCGATAGGTCGACCTGGTCTCACTAGATCAATTACAAAAGTCTACTTTGATGTGGATCCAAACCTAAGACCTCCAAGTGACCAGGCAAGCCTTTAACCACTGTGCCGCTGTAGCTTCCAAAGACGCTAAAAGATATATATTCTAAATACTATGTGCTTCAAGTGTGAACCTATGTGCTTTAAGTGTGAACCTATGTGCTTAAAGTGTGAACCTATGTGCTTCAAGTGTGAACCTATGTGCTTCAAGAGTGAACCTCCACAAGACAATGAAAGTCTCACCTCATTTGTTGTTTTCAGCAATTTGGCAATCAGCTTTCTGATGGAGATGAGTTTCTCCCTTGCCTCGTCACTCTCCTCTTTCCTACAGGCTGCCTCCACCTGAAAATTGCTCACAAGCTGGGAGGAAACAAACACAAAAGATCAAAGTCTCTGCTGAATTAGTAGACCAGGGTTATTCAGCTAAGTTTACTGAGGGACCAACATTTTGAACATGGGGATCGTCACAGGCAAGAGGTCTGAACCCAAGCCTAGAAAGGTAATTAATTCAATACAATTCGTGGACCATTTACTAGACCTCCATAGGCCAGATGCAGCCCGCAGACGACCAGTTGAATAGCCCTTGTTGTAGACCACACAGCATTTTCTATAATTGTTTTAGTATTATGCAACACATCACGCGTTGATTGGGTAGCTAAAGTTCAAAGACATTATACATCTCCGACTGTCTTTTATCTTAAACAGTTGTTGAATTAAATCATTGCATCTGATTTGTTAGTTTGACTCCTTCTGCCCATAGCGTGTGTGTGTTTTTTTTTTTAACTGCTTTGAACTCAAACACTGATTACTTTAAACTAGAACTTTTCAGGATTGAAGACGTTAGTGTAATCGAAGAATGGTACCGAAGGAGTTATATCTAAGCAACTTCTTAGCTATCCAAGTGTGTAGAGAAAGATATAGAAGATAATAACACAATCTACATGGCTTGACGTCTACTGAAAAAAAAAAGAACATTCCTGGCAGAATATGTCCAACAATAGACAGCACATCTGTGACCAAATATGTCCAACAATAGACAGCACGTCTGTGACAGAATATGTCTAACAATAGACAGCACATCTGTGACAGAATATGTCCAACAATAGACAGCACATCTGTGACAGAGTATGTCCAACAATTGACAGCACATCTGTGACCAAATATGTCCAACAATAGACAGCACATCTGTGACCAAATATGTCCAACAATAGACAGCACATCTGTGACAGAATATGTCCAACAATAGACAGCACATCTGTGACAGAATATGTCAAACAATAGACAGCACGTCTGTGACAGAATATGTCCAACAATAGACAGCACATCTGTGACAGAATATGTCCAACAATAGACAGCACATCTGTGACAGAATATGTCCAACAATAGACAGCACATCTGTGACAGAATATGTCCAACAATAGACAGCTTATCTGTGACAGAATATGTCCAACAATAGACAGCACATCTGTGACAGAATATGTCCAACAATAGACAGCACATCTGTGACCAAATATGTCCAACAATAGACAGCACATCTGTGACAGAATATGTCCAACAATAGACAGCACATCTGTGACCAAATATGTCCAACAATAGACAGCACATCTGTGACAGAATATGTCCAACAATAGACAGCAGATTTTCTTTTCTCTACTGCTGAAATGCCCCGGTAGAATGAGACAGCACATCTGTGACAGAATATGTCCAACAATAGACAGCACATCTGTGACCAAATATGTCCAACAATAGACAGCACATCTGTGACAGAATATGTCCAACAATAGACAGCACATCTGTGACCAAATATGTCCAACAATAGACAGCACATCTGTGACAGAATATATCCAAAAAATAAACAGCAGATCTTCTTTTTCTTGTCTCTACTGCTGAAATGCCCTCGGTGTCAGGGAAGAATGAGATCTCTGGAACAGGGCTTTAAGTTCGCTTCGTATAAAGTAGTTTTCAGTGTCTCTGATATTTCTGCAGTCCATCTTCTTCGTGGTCGACCTCTGGCTCTGTTACCATTGTATCTGAATAACATTGCTCTCTGTGGTGCCCTGTCTGATGCCAAACTTGTTTCATGGACAAACCATTTGATTTTTGTATACCTATAAAGTTCAGTATTGGTTCTGTGCCGACTTTTCTCCTGATATCATCATTCCTAAGTTGATCTTTCCTCGTTACACCTAGTGTAGTATGTAAACATTTCATTTCTGTCGCAACTATTTTCCTTCTGTCTTCTGAAGACAGTGCCCATCTTTGACATTGAGAGTAAAGCGTTTGTACGAATATTGTGTTGAACAGTGAGCTTTTAATGTTCAAATTCACATGCTTGCATTTCAGAACTGCTGCTATTTGGCCTAAAACTTGATTGACTTTACTGAATCTTTGTTGGATTTTTTTAAATTAATTCTTCCGTCTTCTAAAAAAAATGCTCCCCAAATGTGTAAAATCCTTTGCCTGATTTAACTGGTTTTCATAAATTTTGATATTGATGGTTCTTTCTTTTCTGGAGAATGTTATCACTTCTGTTTTGCCTACGTTGATATTCATATCACAGCTGTCTCCTTGTGAGTGGAGTCTATTAAAATGTTCTTGTAGCTGTACAGCTGTTGGCGCTATGATTGCCTGGTCATTGGTAAAAAGCAATTCATTTAGTAATTCTCCGATGTTAGCTGATTTGCAAATTTGGTCCACATATGTGATGAAAAGTAGTAGTGATAGAACACACCTGCGTCTCACTCCAGATCTAATGTAGAACTTTTCTGACACTCTTGTATTTGTTTGAACTGTGCACTGACTGTTCACTTTAACTGCACAATAAGGTGTTCGTTTACTCAGCTTCTGAGATAAGATGCTGTTTACCAGTAAATTTTCTGGATGTTCAGATGTGACATGTCCAAATATTAAGCAGCGCAACTGTGATATATTACAACCAACAATGAACAGCAAATCTGTAACCTTGTTCAACAATTAACAGCCCACCTGTTGCCTGATGTTCCACCACACACACACACAAAAAACATCTATGGTAAGATCTAACCATAAACAGCACACCTGCTGCCTGATGTCCCCCGCCACACACACACACAAAAAACATCTATGGTAAGATCTAACCATAAACAGCACACCTGTAACCGTGTCCAACAATTTACAGTTCACATGTAGCCTTATGCCACCCTCCTCCTCCCCCACCCATCCAAAAGCACATCTATGTTAAGTATCCAACAACTAGCCTATCTAAGGTCTGATGTCCCAACACATGCAGGGTGCTGCATATACAGTACAACAAGTGATTTCCTCTCTCACAAAATGAATAACTTACCCGCCTCAATCCTTGCTCATAATTATCAAAGAAATCATCCAAAGGAAAATCGGATAGCTCCTGTAAAGACATGGTTGTGATGGCATCTTTATCCATGATCCACTGTGGCGGCAGGAAGTAACGAAGGCATGTCCTGGACAAGAGCAGCACAAACATTTACAAAAACTGAAACATTTTCACTCAATGGTTTCCCCCACACATCTATACCATGTATAAGGAGCAGCTAACTCAATGGTCAGAATGGAGAGAGACCAAGGTTCAAATCCTCAGTATCCCCATGTGGATTCCGGGGCCCCATTTTTCACCCCACAAAAAAAAAATAACAGACCCAATGACCTCTTAACAAAAACGTTGACTAATTAGGGGGGGGGGGGGGGGGGCTCTTCAGTCAGAATGCTTTTGCCCGAGAGGCAAGGAACCAACAGTCTGCTTACAAATAAGAAAAGTCTGTAAAATGGGTGTGCAAGCAAAATTCACGTTCTGGAACAAGATTAAAGTCAGAGTTTGTAGGCAGTGAACGTGAAGAAGAATAAGGTGGAGGAGAAAAAAGAAGGAATCCTTGGTAAGTGAGGTCAGTTTTTTCTTCAGGTGGCAGCAGAAACAAACATCCTAAACTGCACAGTTTGTGGCAACAGCACTAGCCATGTGACTTTCAACCCCCAGGCTCAAGAACACCAGTCCTGCACCGCCCCCAAAAAAAGAGGCACTACAGGCAGTACAACAAAACAGACAGATGCACCATGTACAAGAACTGCAGTAGCACAGTTACTAAATGCCTGCCTGCCAGACTAAAGGTCCTAAGTCTTAATCTGCATCGGTACAGAATTTTTTAACTGTCCTAACTCTTTCAGTAGCAAATGACTCACCGTGTTTCTTGGTCATTTCCAAGTAAATATCCTGCTATTTCCTATCCAAGACAGGAGATATTTAACTAAATGTTATGTGCATTACTGTATTTATGCATGTATAAGCCACACGCCTACATATGTCGCATCCCATTGCCAATACAATAATTTAAGGAAAAGATAATTTTCTTAGAGCTTCATCGAGAGACCAAAACTGAAACAACAGTACCTGTAAACAGTGAAAGATCAACGTGTAAGAGCAAGTTATAGATGTAGATGTAAATATAATTTTTAAATAGTGTGTTATGCACAAGAAAATCAAAACCGAGCAGCTGGGAGGAAGTAGGATGTGGATAAGAAAATGTATGTGAAGATGGATTGGAATGAAAAATGCACCTAAAGAAACATTTCAAAGTCAACAATTTTTTCGTGGCAAGTAGATGAAATACCCAGAAGAAGAAACCAATCAGCTGGAATATCTCCCCACAAAATGTGAACATTTTCTACGTTTATGGAAATGTTACAGTTTGAAGCACATCAATTATCAGACATCATGGGAAGTTCTTGGAGTGAATTTAAAGCCAGTTATGGCTGGGAAAGGAGCTTTATGGGACAAAATCATCTTGTGATTCAACAACAGACAACAATGATGTCAAATACTGGTACTGTTTTCATAAGGTATGTTTCAAAATGATGTACTGTTTATTAATCAATTTTGTACAAGGCACAGGTAGGCCTGATATCTTGGAAATAAGCAGCATCCTATTTCTCATCAACAATTTTCTGTTAAATTACTGCTGAATACAAAAAGAAATAGTGAACAAATGCAAAGTGGCTAAAGAAGCCTTGCTGAATCAAATGTGTACAGAGGTTGGGGAAAATCACAGGAAAGACTCACATTCCATGTACCAACAGATAAATATGTTAATAGGAAATATGACACGTAACAGCACTGGTTTTTAAAATCAAAAGATGGTGACTTATTAATGGGACATAGTAATATAATTAACAGATGGATAGAGTATATAGGAGAATTGTATGATGATAATAGACCAGATGTAGAACTGCAGACCAACAGTGATGGTCCACCAATAATGACTGAAGAGGTTGAGGATGCATTACATCATATGAAGAGAAGAAAGGAAAAGCACCGGGGCCAGACAACATCTCACTGGAAGAAATCGAAGCACTGGGAGATTTTGGAACTGAAATAATAACTAAACTTTTAAATTATATTTATAATAGTGGGTATATTCCAAATGACCTTTTAAAATGCGAAGACCAAAGCACAATAAGTCTTATGAGTCACATGACTAAGATTTTACTGAGAATAATTATGAGAAGAATAAGAAACAAATGAAACCAGAAATCAGTGATGAACAATGTGGATTTGTAGGAGAAAAAGGTGCAAACAATGCCATATACATCCAAAGGACATTGTTAGAAAGAGCTATAGAAGTAAAAACTGATTTGTACTTATGCTTCATAGACTATACAAAAGCATTTGACTGTGTGAAGCATGACGAAGTAATCAAACTATTTGATGGAAAAGATCTACGAATAATAAAGAAAATGTATTGGCAGCAAACAGCACCTATAAGAATTAACAACTGTTTAGGTACATCTCAAAGCATAAAGAGTACGACAAGGATGTGTACTGTCACCTGATTTTTCACTATACAGTGAATATATAATGAGATCTTTAATTGATATGCCCGGAACTGTGTTTGGTGGGTGCAATATAAACAATTTATGTTATGCTGATGACATAGTCTTGATAGCAACAAGTCAGAAAGAACTACAGGAAATGATAGATATTGTGGTGTTAGAAAGTGGAAGAATGGGCCTCAGTCTGAATAATGGGAAGACAGAAGGAATGGTGGTATCAAAGAAACAAATTATTCTTAAATGTGTAATAAAAGTCGATGGTGTTATTTTGGGACAAGTACAGAAATTTAAGTATCTGGGCACATGGATAACATCAGATGGAAGATGCATAACTGAGATAAGAAACAGAATAGGACAGGCAAAAACTGCCTTTTATAAAATGAAAAACATCTTGTGCAATATATTTTTGTCATTGAGAGTTGGAAAAAGAATTCCTGCTTGCTACATACATTCAGGATTAACATATGGCTGTGAATCCTGGACAATCGGTAGGCAGGCCAAACAATTTCTTGAGGCCTCAGAGATGTGGTTTTACAGAAGAATGCTTAGAATACCTTGGACAGCCAAAAAGAGCAACTAAGATGTTTTGAAAGAGGCGGAAGCCCGAAGACAACGTATCACAGACATCCGAAGGAGACAGTCATCATTTTTCGGCCATGTTATGAGAAGAGGGAAAATAGAACATGTTGTGACCACTGAAAAGATCTGTGGCAGGAGGAATAGAGGAAGACAATGAGAGAAGATTCTTCACAGTCTTGTTGCATGGCATGGAGGTATGTCGGCACATGAACTTTTCTTCGATTTTCATGCTGCAGGAGATCGCAGATTGTGGAGATGCATGATCGCATACGCCAGTCGGCCATTCACCTGATGATGAGGATGATAAGAAGCTATGGTAGTCCACAGATCAAATTCTAAAAAACATTTATTAAAAAAAAAACAGCAACTCAAATGGTTTGCGCCCTCAGAGAGAATACCTTGTGATGCCATACCACACAAGGTACACACCAAAGGAGGAGAAGGAAGCAGAGCACAAGGTAGATCACAAACAACATGGAAGGATAACATCAGAGAGTTGTCTATGGTCGAGGCAGTCAGAAGAGCAAGAAGCAGAACCGTATATCTCCCTCGACACTCAAAGGGCTAAAAGAAGAAGTGAAAATGAAGTGGAAGTCAAAGTATTGTCTACTTCTTCTGCCTTCTATCCCCCAATGGAGCCTAGGCCCTCAACCAACTCACATCAAGTCCAAAATACGGAGCCATTATAGAATGTAATGCTTCAGGGTTGTTTTTGCCTCCGACAGCGCTTTGCTGGTGCAGTTTCCACATGTGGACGGTAGTCTGCGGTTTCGCTGCCTAAGCTACTGAGTTTAGTGCTTGGTGCAGCACTGTGAGCTGTGTTTTTCATGTGGAATGCCTTTAATGTGTGCAGCGGTTGTATCATGGAGTTCAATATGGCTATTAGCCAGTTTATGTGTGAGCTGGTAGAATACCTTGTGTAGTAATTCTACGTAAGCATGGCCAACTACTTCCATCAACGACAGACTGCATTTCTGGTGGCGACCGTTAGCTTTTGGCACCTCTGGCAAATAAAAAGTGCACTTGCTGCTTGTGCATATTTCTGGATTGTTCCAGGGCTAATTGTTTGTTCATCAGTTTTTTTAAACGAGACAGCGAGGGAAATTTCATTTAATTTGCAGTGACACAGGAACAGAGCAAGTCTGGGGAAACCTCAATGCAGTGAGGTTTACACCTCGACTAAGACTAACACACCAAGTCGCTCTATCCTCCGCTACTGCTTGCAACACATTCCATGTCCTCCCTGTCTTTTTAACTTCACACTTCAGCTCCCTTCTTTGTGTGCCTTTTTTGGGGGGTGGAGGTGGGGGGGGGTGGAGGTGGGGGGGGGGGGGGTCCTGCCTCTATTTCTATATCCCTGTGGACTCTAGTGCAAAAACATTCTAGTTATACCGTATTGTTTTCTCAACGTCCATCCTATCCAACACCAATGTCTTTTCTCCACGTCTTAGTCCAGTGGAGTTTGTTTAGTTCTCTCCAAAAGCTCAACATCAGCGATTCTATGAACCATTTAATTCCCTCTATTCTGTACAGGAACCAGTTAATAAATATTTCTAGTTTATTATAAATCGTTTTAGTTTTTTCCATGTTTCGGCTAAATACATCAATACTGATTTGACATTTACAATTTTAAAAAAAATTTCAATAAGTTAGGTTAGTTGCATATCCTTTACAGAACATTGCTGAACCAACCCTAACAGCCCCTGTGTGGTTTTTCTAGGCAAATTTACATCCAGTAGTTTGCCATTGCTTTCTGGGCGGTCTGCTTTCTTGATCCCACTGTCGAAACCAACGCAAAGTGCACGGCCTGCAGCTGGGATCGAACCCGGCATCCCAGCATTACGAAGCGTTCCCATCAACTTAGCCACACAGCCAATTTTTCATTAAGTATTAGTGTTAATTTCATGCCGGCCCTATAGTCGTGAAACTTATCTTACCTCCCAGGTCGACTCAGCCTAAAATGGTTTCTGTGAAGTAAATGCGGTCAGGCGGATGTTGACAACA